CACATTGGAAAAAGGGTACTCACCGGCGACTGGACGAACAAATACGAACTTCGATTTCCACTCGGTGACGTTAGACGAGAGGTTGTCCAAGAAGGTAACACCCGAACGACGGACTAAGCAGTGGGCACCCTTTATGAGTCTATACCCACAGCAATAGAAATTCAGACGAGAAACATAGAAGTTTTATTCGAGAGACGACTATAAAGGCGATCATAATGCGGATGGCATTGGGAGAAAATTGATTTGTGGGTATATGGTACATGTTGTTGATCGACATAAGTTCGGGCTGAATGGGAAAGCGAAGGCCGAACATTATTTGGTCTATGAAAAATGTAAAAAACCAAGAGGGAGGATGAAAAAAATGATCGCCAAAACTAGGAATCTTCAGCTCCCAGTCAGAAGGAAGCCCACTGAATTTTCTAAAGCCTTTGACTTGGGCTGCAGAGGTATAAGAAAAGGGATTTAAAACGGCTACTTTCGCCAAAGGAAATGCTACTGATACAACATTTTGAGGATCATTAGGAAGAGCAATTAAAGGTACAGGAACTGGACTAGTTCTATTTACAGGTATGTCTAGTAGCTTATAAGGAATACCTCGGGGGAAAAGGTTGAGACGAGGAGTTTCCCCTTGAGGGGGATTTTCTGAAACATCTACCAAACTGCCCTCTAAAAGGGTTTGTTCATATTCCTCCCAGTCGACTCGCGGAGCGACGACATGGGAGGAGGAAGATTGTGGGGATATGTTAGCCACTCTGTACCCAATTACTTGCACTGAGTCAGACGATTGAGGGCCCTTGTCAATCAAATGCTCGATGGTACCGAGAGAGGAGCCAGAACCAGAATCTAAAAAAAAAAAAAAGAGAAAAGGGGAGAAGGAGGTCGAAGTTAGTAAAGTGTGGAACGGACTAGCATGGAGACGAACACAAGCAAGTTGAATAACGAGAGTCATCGTGAAAAAATTCAAAGTTCCAACTCGACGAGTGATCGTCAAGGCGACGTGGTCTCTCCCAGAAGGTTGAGAAGCGAAGAGGAAGAAAAAGTTCGATAAAACCGTGTCTAGATCGGTTAGATCTTTGAAGCCTAGTCGACTTACTAAAAGAAAGATCGACAAGGCCCACGACGATACACGAGGAGAAAAAGAGACTCTAAGTCGAGCCAATCCATCGATAAACACAAATTTAAAGACTATACCGAAGCATAAAAGATCTAAAGCTAGAAGTTACCCAAAATCGTTTGAAGTTCCTTAAGAACGCGAAGAACATTCATATATCCCAGAAAATAAAAACCCGGCAAATTAGCAGAATCTACCAAAATACGGGAGTTAAAGGACTTACACATGATGGCGAGGGCAGAAGATCCTGAGAACACGGGAGAAGAGACCAGAAAAGTTGAGTGCGCCGAGGTTACTGGATGTTCTATTGCCGGAGAAGATAAGAAGTCTCTAAAGATCTTGAATGCGGAAAGTGTGCAGATATGGGGAAGAAGTATACTTATAGGGAAAACCGCTAAACCCTAGCTGTTGGTTTAAAGTAGAAACCAACAGCTCAGATGATACACGGAATTCGAAGCGATAGGGGAAATGATTGAGGCGGCGTGTCAAATCCAAATTCAAAAATTCAAAATTCGAAATAGTGATAGTAGATAAGCTCGGGAAAGTTATGTATAAGGCTAGACTGCGGGTGTCCTAGTAGAATAAAATGAATCACTGACACGAAGATTTGAGACTAAGAAACGAGACGACGCATCAACAAATTTACTATTAAGCTTGAAGTCTCTTAGAGTAATTTTTTGGGGGGACTAGATGATATAGTCCTATTGTCATAGCTCGATTCAAATACTAACTTCCCGACTGAACAAACACTGCTGAAGACACCATTAAGTCGACATCCCCAAAGTCGACTTGGCCCATCGGCCATTTGAAGACCATCATCGACCCGATAACGGTCTCAAGACGACTTCAGGAAGTCGACTGAGTGTTAGACGGCTTCCCTTAAGAAGACGAGCAGGCATTCCAGGAGCCCCGGATACATATACAACCTTAGGTCGACTTGACAAGGCCCCAAGTCGACTCACAAGATCTCCGACAGCTCGATACACTTGAATATAACACAGGGAAAATCTCCAAGCAAGGCTAAGTTCATACAGGATAAGAAGGAATCTTGATGCTGACTCAGGAGTGGGAGGAATGCGAACCGACCAGGGCATTTTGGACACTTCGTGTAAGTCGGCCAGGGCATTTTAGGTACTTCAAGTAAGTGTTTTTACTCCTATATAAAGGATCTGAGGTAACCCCAAACCCTAACTTTTACTCTCTCGATTCATTCTTCAGCTGCTGCTCCTACTGAGCAGAGCTCATCTTCTTCTCTTTCACTGACTTGAGCGTCGGAGGCTCTTCACCGGAAACACTTCCAGTGTTGAGTTCTTGCAGGTGTTTGCAGCGGTCCACGGACGACTTGGAGGCGATTCGAACAGACCGGAACTCATTTCCATCGGTTCACTCCAGATCTAGGAGGAGACCCATCGCGCGGCATGAATTATAGTGAAAATTTTGAGGCTCGGCCTTTACCTTCCACGGGAAAAAGAGCTCGGGTCTTTGAGGCTGAAAAGAAATTAAATGCTAAACCTGCTCATCTGTCGAGAACTCTCAGGATATACAATAAATGCATGATTATAGATTCTCTTGACACCACGACTTACATGGATCCCCCAAGGTGTAGATCGTGTCTCATGTTGAACTGTTATCCCAAACGGGAATTGCACTCATTAGTCTATGAACTTCTGGTATCTCGGTCTAAATCTGCAAAACTACCTCTGTAACGTTCACCTCGCGCGCACCTCAACAACTTTATCCTTCCACCTTTTTTGTGTGAAGAAATAACCAATTCAAAACCATATTGATTTGCCATTTCTTTTTCCCATGTAATAGCTTATGCATCACTATTCAATACTTTCTCTGTAATGAAAATAGAATTGTAGTCAGTATCGCCCCTTCCAAAATTTTTGAATGACACCTGCAAAATATTACAATGTCAATAATTTTATAAGATAATCAATGCTAATTTATAACATAATAAATTCTATAAGATAATCAATGCTAATTTATAACATGCTAATTTCTATGTTTAACATAACAATAATAAATTCTATAAGATAATCAATTTTAATTATAACATAATTATTTTTAAGTTCTAACATAATAATAATAATAATAAATTCTAATTTATAATATAATAATTTCTACTAACATAATTTTTTAATAAATGAAAATTAGGTAATAAAAAAAAGCCGGTCGGTTATACCGGCCGAGCGTGGTGGCGATCGTGACTAGCGATGGTCATGGCCGGCCTAGCCGACCGACCGCCACCATGCGCGGCCGGCGTAATTTTTGTACCTCGTTGTCGCTCATTTTCGTCGGACATCGCCGTTTATTTAGTGAATTTACAATTTTTTGAGCTTTTAGAAAAAAAAAAAATGTCAGGGGTAAAACAGTACCAAAATGAGGCTGTACGTAGTAATAGAAGGACAGTCTTAGTAACACCCATATCTTTAATGTAGCCCATAGATTAAAGTTGAGGATGAATGGCACAATTAGAGAACCAAACAATGGTTATGCTACCATTTGACATTTTATAAATATTTGATGGACACAGCAAAACTTTCACTGAAGATCGAGGTTGTGGAGTCCATAAACGAATATATTAATTTCTCGGATAAATAAACATATTTGAGCTCCATAATGCACTGAAATATGACGGTGGTATCGAATATGATCTAGAAACTTCAGAATTCATGGAGGAACTTGCAAATCCCAAGTTGTATTTGAAAGTGGGATAATTTAATTATATTATTAAGCCCATTTAGGTGTTATAATCAACTAATTTCCCATGTATTACATACAGTAGGTGTTATCTTGTGCGAATGTTGGTGAAATGATCATTCTAGAATGAATTTGACATCATCAAATCTTGGTAGCATTTCAAGTTTAAAATGAGAGTTTCAAATAAGATAGTTTCCGCTTGATGGTTAAGAACATTAGTCTATATATCTTCAAGATTATCGCGATGGTTAAGATTGGTCGATATAGGTTAAAAATCCGATCTCTAGTCATGATTGTCGTCGTTTCGAAATGTACAAACTCTATCAAATTAAAAAAAAATATTAATTTGTAATTATGAAAATAACACGCAGACGAAATATATTGTATCTAAGAAAGAATCAATAACATATGCATAATCATTTGTATGACTTACACTTAATTTTTAATATTGTAGATTTTCAATCTGTTTCAAGCTGGAAACAGAGAAAGCTAAACATAACCAAAGACGGGGTTTCTAAAGTATAGACCAATATGCCAACTAGATTGATTCTAACTCTTGTCTATTGTCACGACATATGAACTATCAAAGGAAACAATGTCATTTGTACAACATTACATTATATATCTTCCGTGCACGTGCACGTGCAGGCACGTGCAAAAATAGCTCACCAATAGTCGTAGTAACAACTGTGGCAAATACATTGCAAATCGCGCTTTACTGTCAGAGAATGGTATAGATTCACCCAGCCTCGGTCATAGAATGCATGTCATTGCCACAAACGTATAGGTAAATACAACTTCTGGACTATCTCAACATCTTGCTATGCTACAAAATTACTGGCTATTTTAGCCTGCAAATACGTAGAAAGATACGAGGTGAAATTTGTTTTCCACCTCAAAGCAAACACAATTCCTTTTTCATGAAATAGGAATGGTTAATTTCACACGGCATGAAACTTTCTTAAGCAACTGGATTAAATACCGCCATTTAGTTCCAACAAAGAACTTCACCGCATTTCGTCCCCTGATTGGAATAATAATATACATTTTT